ACACACACACACACACACACACACACACACACACACACACACACACACACACACACAGTCTTTCATGCTCATCTTCTGTTGTGTGTTGGAGTGTTTGTTAAATAGAAACGTCGTCATTGTCAGGACAAACAGACCATTGTTATTTCTTAGTGTCGTCATCTGATGTCAGTGATGTTTCCGTTTGTCATGTGAACGCTGTGTGTGTGCGAGGTGGTGCACATTTGTAACTGTGTGTTTTTATGCTTTGTAACATAGTTGATTTGTTGTCATCCTCCTGTTGTTGTTTGTCAGAAATCACCGCATCCCTAACTGTGAAATTTTATGTTTTGTTCTTTTTTCTTTCATCTTTTTGCCTTTTCCCCACGTTCCTCTTATTCAACCCTGCTAACCTCGCTGCAAACGTGTCCTTCCTGCATTGATGCGGTCTCTCTTTATGGGAAAAAAAAATGAATGATCCACTCTTACACATTAATCTGCTGCGCTGAACTGTCCATCCAATGCCCCCACACCTCCTCCCCACACCCCCTCCTTCATTTGCTTCTTCCCTACGCTGCTTTGCTCTCCTCCACCCTTCCTTCCTTCCTTGCTTCCCTTCCTCCCTTCAGTCGTCCCATACTCACTCGCGTGACTATGCCAAGCCCTGGCTGGCACACAGTAAAACTCCAACGCCAACCAAGTGCCACTGCTGCCCAGATCTCGGTCACAGCCACACCACTCCTGGGCACGAGGTAACACACCCACCCACCCAACCAACTCCCCTGCCCCACCCAACCCCACTCCACTGAACGCGCTAATGCACTAATGCACACTTGCAGGTGCTCTCACATGGGAAGCTTTACTTTGGCTGGGGTGATTTTGAGCTTTGCTTGAATTGTTTTGTTTTTTTTGTGTCAAAATAGGAGAATAAGGATAAAACCTGCACAGTTTAGTGCATTTATTTATCATTTCTCAGCTGAGTCGCTTCATTTCTTTAACTGAAATGACAGTAAAATTATTATTTTGTGGCTTTTAACTCTTGATTAGATAAAAGCAAGTTGATGAGATATCCTCTGTATTAAAAAAAAGAGCAAATAATAAAGAAAGAAATTTAAGGACTAATCAGCAGATTTATTACATATAGTTTCATGTGGTCACATAGTTTTATAAACGCATACCTTCACAATTAATAGTAGTGTTTAATATAGTGTTCATATGTTGTCGGTGTTTTTGTGTTTAACACGTTTCTTTGTGTTGTTTATTTATTTGTAGATCTGTTTTTGTTCATGTCCATGTGGATGTGACATGTTGTGTTAAATCCCCTGTGTGTGTCTGTGTGCGTGTCTAAAGTGATAACAATGAAATTATCCTCAGCTGACGTCTGCCATGTGCTCCTGCAGGGGGCGCCATCTGGGTCCAAGTTAAAGAGACCGACCTTCCACTCGAGCCGAGGCTCGCTAACCGGGGAGAACGGTGGAACGACGCACACCAGCAAACCATCGCGGACGGGTGAGACACCAGCCATGTGTCCTGGCTACTGCAGACACGTTATCTGCTTCATTAAGGAAGACCTGCTAATTGCAAGCTCTATATTTTTATTCATTAACTCTACTAGATTAGCTTTGCAGGACTCACAGTTCAAAGTAAGCCCCTGTCCCTGCTAAGACCAGACTTACCAGGAGGTTTGATTGTAAAGTGGGTGGGGCTTCTCTCCTTGAATGCAGGGCAGGTTTTAAAATTCCTACTTCTGTGACCAACAGACGTCAGCGAATGTGTAAATTCACAGCCAATTCACAGCATTGTTGCTGCTGAGATATTTACTCTCAGATAACTGAATTCAGTTCTACTCATAAATTTGTGTCAACATCTGAGACTAAAACGTAAAAGTGCCAAAAACTGCAGTTCCTCTAACGGCCACTTGGAGGCTGTCCCCCGAAGTGAGTTAGCCTCCATACACTCCAGGGTTAAAATGTCCAGCGTTACAGCAGAAAGAAACATGAGTCATAGTTTTCCCCTTCATGGCAGCTGTTCACTGAGTGATTTATGTTGTGAAGACACCTGTTGATGTTGTAGTAGACTAATTATTTCGGAAACTTCTGCAGCATTTTAACGCGGTTATATGTCAAATAATAATAGCTTAATTGCACTAATAGGCCATGTCCAAAAGGTTTATGCACAGGTTGTTACTGAGAGTGAAATACTAGTATTTTATTTGCTTGTTAAGATTCATTATTGGGTGTCTGTGTCTAGTCCATAAATTAAGCTTACAAACCAGGCTAGCTACTGTTAGCCAACAGTCTGCAGCAGTCTGCCCTTTCGTACAAATATGGCTACTCTGGCCCCACAAAAAGCCAAGATGATGACAGCTGCGGTTGAAGATCAAAGAAGATTCACAAACCACTGGGTGACATCAAAGAGGCTGCGTCTATCTTGTATATGCAGTCTGTGGTCTCGGCCAACAGACATGGCAGCCTCCACAGCCACAGTGCTGCAAACTAAATGTGAATCTGCACAAATGCATGCTCTGCTTTTGTCAGCACATTTTTACTGTCTTTTTTTTTCTCGTTTCCCTCTTTTCTCCTGTTAGATCCCAAGCGAGGGGGGTCCACAGCCAGCGGTCCCACCAGCCGAGCCGGCAGCCGAGCCGGCAGCAGGGCCAGCAGTCGCCGTGGCAGCGACGCCTCAGACGCATCAGAGCTCCAGGACGCTCGGTCCGTCTGCTCCGACACTTCAGATACCCCGCGACGACCGGGCGGTGGGGCCAAACCCTCCAAGATCCCCACCATCTCCAAGAAGACCCCCAGCCCAAAAACCCCGGGATCTGCGAAGAAATAAACCCACCCACAGAGAAACTGGAGGAACTTGCAGTGGGTGGGCCACTATTATCTGCCATTTTGGGTGTACCAGCGTCACTCTGAGCATCCATCCATAGGGCTTGTCTAGAATGTGTGCACTATGACTGATACTTTCCAGGAGAAAGAAGGAGGTGGATGAGCTGAGTGAATCTCCGTCTCGTTCTTTCCCCAGCCGACTGAAAACCTGCACAAGAGGAGAAGATTCTGGTCTGGCGGTCTCAGGCCAGAGTCTGTGGGGTGAAAAAAAAAGACTGTTCCCCTTTAAGAAGCGACCCCAGTTTGCCTTCCAGTCTCCTGCTTCGTCTTTCAGAAGTTCCCCACCAGCGAGGAACCAAACACAGACCGACCCGATGTGATGCTGCCTTACTTTGTGTTACAAACTCCTGTCCCGATCCGACACACAAACACACATTTTAACACAGAGCCGGTGCAGGGAGTGGGACACGCCGCCACCGCCGCCGCCACAGCTACAAAAACAAAAAAAGCTCAAGTGGCATTCAGGAAAAAAAAAAAAAAAGAAGGAATTTGTGGGTTATTATTTTGGCTTGTGGGCCAGATGCCTCAGCGATGAGTTAAAAAAGAAAATATGCAACGACTGCCATGTCGCTTCCCCTGCGTTGGTTGGCGAGAAAAAGAGTCACCTCAGCAGATCTACGGAGGCGGGAAACGCTGTCTGGCTCCCACAGCGGCCAACCTCAGACTCGGAGGATCGGCGGTGGCGCTGCTGCAGCTGAGGGCAAACTCTCACACACTCAAACGCCGCAGAGCCGACTCCTCCCGACCGCTGGAACGTTAAGACGGGCCTCGCGGGTGTGCGTCTCGGCGGTTTTGTCACATGTCTGCGTTACAATCCGACACACACAGAAATAAGAAATCACAAACTGGCAATAGAGAGGACTATTTTTATGGCGACACACTCAACTTAACAGCACATTACTGACAATACACGACATGCGTAACCTGACGTAAACGAGCGCGTTCGCAGAGTCCGACAACCAGCATGCACTAATTGTCTCTTCCTCTGCAGCCCTGCAGCACATACGTGCACTCTCAAACTCAAAAGGTGTGTGCGCGCGTGTGTGTCGCGTGTGTCTTTCTTATAGGAAAGAATAAAGGTCAATGACTTGAGTCACTGTATGCAAACGTTTAATTTGCGAATGTCTTTTTGTTTTTTCTTCTCGTTGTTTTCTGGTTAATTTATAATCCAGTTTTGTTTTCTAGCTTGAGAGAAAGATCTATTTATTTTTCACGTCATATCACCGTTGGCAGAGAGTGATTTAGTATTATGGTGAAAGTTTTTTTTTTCTCTTTTTTTTTTGTACCGAGAAGATGCCCACTCCGCTGTTTCGACTTGATCTGTGTGTAACGTGTGTTTCTACTCTGTTGTAACATGACATCATTCACTAGGTCGCTGATTCTAGTGGCAGCCTTTTTGTTACATTTTCTTTAAAGCTAATGACTACAGTTTTCCTGACCACGACCAAAGGGGGTTGCCCTTCATGTGTAGAGAGAACTACAAATATGAATGACAGGGGACCTGGGCTGAGCGGACCAATGAGAGCGGGCGTCCTCCCTCGTGTCCCTCCCCAGCGTCTCTTCTTCTAGGCTTTTTTCTTTTCTTTTTCCAAATGCTCCATCTTTGGCGGGGCTCGAGTTTGTCTCTGTGTTATCTCGGTGTAAGAGATGAAGTTTATGAAAACTAATGAATTTACAATAAGGAAGAAGAAGAAGACATCATAAGGTGATTTTTATTTATTTATTGTCTCTCTGAGGGGGGAGGGATCGGGAGACGAGTCCACCACCTTTTGATGCTGTGCTACTCTGTGTGATAAGAACATGGAGGGAGGGGAGGGGGTGTTACTATGAGTCACTTGTGTAAAATTAAAACAACAAAAAAAAAAAACTAAAATTATAAACAATTTTTTTGTTCTGTTTTTGTATTAAAATTATGCTTGCAGTAAAAACTCTTGTCTTTTGCGTCTGTGTATGTAAGAGCAGCCGAGTTTGATGTGTGAATGTGAGCCGAAGCACCCACAACTTATTAGTTGTTATTAATATAAGCAAGAGGTCACCGATCCCAACAACTCCAACCTGAACTGAAGCCCTGATTTATGCACCAGGTCAGGGGCATCAAACATGTGGCTCATGTGCATCAGCAGATGACTTTGCTGTAAATTTCAGACTTTGCAATCATAAATCATAGAAAATTCTCAGTGCTCTGCTGTTCTGTGCGTTCTAATGCATGAACTACACAAAACACCTTTAAAGGTGTTTCCTGATCTCGACGAGGTATTTAATCTTATCCAAAGTCCTAGAAGCAACACTAATATGTGTGTGTTCACTTATTTAAAGCATTAAACATCTAAAGTAACTTTAATTTTAATGATCATCCGTACATAAAGGTTTCACGTTTATGATCACTGGACGAACCTGATTTAAAAGCTGCCCCAAAATAAGGTTTTAGTTGGCGGTTATTCTGCTAGCACCAAATCTGCCCCACTGCACAACTGAGCTGGGATGTTTGAGTGCCAGGACTCTCTCATAGCTCTGGTCATAAAGAAATAAGAGCCATACTGTTGTTAAGGGCAAGAGTACTCTGATCATTTGATCTGTAAACAGGCAGTTTATTAAATCTGCTCCCAAAATACCTCTTTACACTACAACAGGGGTCTTAAACTTGTGGCCCAGGGGCCACGTGCGGCCCACGTCACCCCTACTTGCGGCCCTTATATTGACCTGAAGAAAAGTAATGCAATTTGGCCCCAGGAGTAACTTTTTTTTGTCAGGGAGGATTTGTGTGTTGTTGAGTGCAATGTTAAAATAAAGTCTTTAAAAGTAAAAAATGATTTAATATGAAGGCAACATGAGCAGAGAGCACAAACGTGTTGAGGGATTGGCCGTGTTAGTTCAGTGAGAGAGTCCAAAACTAACGTGCACACTTATGTCTGCATTTTTGTTTTGTTAAATACAAAGAAATTTATAGCAGAAGTGCTGCCACGTGTCTGGCCAGAAAGAGTAGCCATTGGTTTATTTAGTAGTTCAATGAAAAGCTTCAGTTCAGTAAGAGTGAGAGAAAAAAATGTGTTCACGTTTGCAGTTTTTTCTTGTTACACAATATTTGAAAAATAAACAAAACACTAGATTTTTGGAAATATTTGTGGGAGTTTTCTTGTTTGTTTGGGGTCTTTTTGTACTGCATGAACAATGAGGTGACCGTGCCAGCAGTGGCGCACAGCTCATTGAAGTTCGAGACCCCTGCACTGCAAGAATGGAAGCCGTGTGGCTTTTATGCATGGCTTTAACTAGCCCCGCCCACCTAAATTCAAACTCCCAAAGACCAGAGAGTCAGATACTCCTGCACTGAATGACTGACCGTTTAAAAAAAATAACTGCACTCGATAAATGGATAATATTTCTTCATTTACATGATATTAAAAATGAAAGTCTGCTGATTTTGTGAGATGGGTAGCATCACTTGGTCAGTTAGGGGTATTTTTGTGAGTACACTGACTTTTTTTCAGGTCTTAAAGTGATGTTTCCAGCTTGTTTTCCTTGTTTTCTGTTATCATTAGTTTTTATTTAAGGATTTCTAGTCTAATTAATGGAAAAGGCTTTTAATTACGTCTCCGATTTCTCTGGTTTGCATGTGCGTGTCCACACTCACTCGCTCATGCAGACAGCGGCCCACAGACACCGGACATTCTTAGGTAATTACGCTGTTACAGATAAGGGCACGCCCGACTGGATCGTCTCTCCTGTACACGATGAGTCGCTAACCCCAGGGGAGGAGGTGGTGGAGTAAGTAATCTCAATAATCTGAGCTCCCTCCTCTCGGCCCTGATGTGTTTCTTGTCGTGTTCGAGCTCCCCAGTTTGTGTCGGAGGATTTGAAAATAACTCCGTCCTGTTTATTTGGTGGTTCCACCGGAGATGATGAGGTCTGAGTCCACCCTCTGCAGCTGTGTGTACACTCACACTCGCACTCCTCTCATTTTCTGTCCACTCTCAATCCATCTACGCCCGTCCTGCCTGCAGTCCATCTGTCATCCCAGACTGCTCCCTCTGATGACAGTCCTCGCTCTGTTCCACCACTTCTGTCTCGCAGGAATGTCATTTTTCATTTATGCTGGGTTTGTATGGTTTTGAGGGCACTCTGGCACATTTTTCTCCTCTTTAACTCCCTGTTTGTTCTTTCACCTCCGCCTCTTCATCTCCTCTCACTCCTCTCCCCCTCCCCTTTATCTCTCCAGACGAGGCTTCCATAAAGTTGCAGATGTGAAGAGCAAAAGAAAACAAAATGGGGCAGAGCGTTAATTCCTGGCATTTGGGACTCGCCCTTTCGGCCAGGACAGAATGAACCGTGGTCACTTTGGTTTGGTCAGTGTTATTCATGCCTTTCAAAGTGACCGCAAGTACCAGGCCGCTTTGAAGCAAAGAGTACACAAACACGAGCTGGCACAGGCCTGAGCCTCACTACTATATTTGAGTCACTTCTTCCCTCCAAGTCTTTTTGGTTTAGAGTCGCACACATGCACACAGTGTGTTTGCATTAGGCCTGCTGCACGACAGGCTCTGTGAACTAATGAATAGCTTAACGGGAAACCTGCAGCTTCAGAAAAAAGCAGACTTATGTTAGACGTTAATTCTGAGCCAAGATAACACAGCGATGTTTGAGATTTTAGAGCTTTGAAACTGGCAACAGAGGGAAACAAACATTCATCCAACTCACAGAAGTGAACTGAAAGGATTCAAGTTGAAATAAAATGCAGTGGAAACGGAGGGTATGACAGCAAGGTTTGCCTGTAAACGTGGATTATAGGTTCATACATCTATATTTGCTTTTTAGAGTTCATCCTTCATGCTTTCCAGATAAACCAAGTAAACCTTTCAGAGGCTTAATCTTTTTAATTTGCGACGATGTCTCAACTTGAAGCCTTTGTGAGACACTGCCCACCCGCCATCATGAGACTTACTAAGATCATGTGGGTGTAGATGTGAGTGGCGGCTGAATCGTCCAGAAAATGATCTCAAGACAGTGTGGTGGGTGTCTGATAGTCGGTGTTGTCAACCACCACCTCTCTTCGCTCACTCTGTCAAACTATCTGCCTTCTTGGTCCAAACTGTGAAGATTAGCATCCTCTAACGAGTGTCCTTTCTCCTTTAGGTGCCAGGTTGGCCTTGGGTCATGTGACCCCTAATGACTCAGAAGATTACAGGGTGGGCCAACAACTCTCAGGACCACCTCCCACGGCCTTACGATTCTCCATCAGGTTGTAAATCTCTTGGACGAGAGGTGAGACGTCTTCATGAACCACAAAGTTGTCCAGCTGCCGTCATTTTAACCATTTAAGACAACCATGGCCTGGATGACTGAGAAGCTTTGATTTTATACAGTTTTTAGTTTGAGTTTGTAGAGCCGGCCTCACGTGGCCATGAGAGGAGATGCGGTTTTTGGCACTTTCATTTACAGTCATTATTCATCTGTTGTTTTTGTTGAAAAAGAGCCAAAAAAAAAAAAACAGAATCCATCAGCGAAAACTAAAATAGGGTATCATTTTATTCGCAGGTGTATTTAAAGTTAACTTGTTGCTAACTTCTAAAAAGGTTTATTTTTTTGAACGTTGCCTTTTTGTCTTGATATTATTATTTTACGACCTTTCCGTCAGTTTGGCGTCTCTGTGCAGGGCTACATGTGTAAAGAAATGCTTCTCCCTGACTTCCTGACTTCTGACTCACCGAGCGAACAGAGATGTTTTAGCATTAAACAAGGCAGCTGGCAGCCAGACACTTAAAGCGGAGTAGCAATGAAAGGAAGCAGTCATAAGAGGATGAAAAGATAGATGGGTGGAGGTAAGGAGGAGAGAGATGAGGTCTCCCAAAGAGACCACTGGGAGGGGAGGTTGACGAGATGTAAGCAGGACAAGAGAGAAGTTTTAGGACTTGAAAGAGGAGGAGAGGCAGAGGCTGGGAGGGAAACTCCCTTCTGGTCTTGAACAACTGTTCAGGCTTCAAACACTCAGAGCGCTGCACAGCTCACGCTGAGCGAAGGACTGCAGGAGAAACCTCTCACCCCTCTCAAGGATTTACAGTCAGGAAGCAATTTTTATAAAGTGGATTAGGAGAGACATCTGGCACCCCGGAGACGTGTGGGAGGCGAGCGGCCTTGAGTGAATGAATAAGTGCTCACGGAAGACTGGATAAAAGTTTCCAGAAGTTATTTTTCGTCAGCAGATGGTCCTCGTGAGGTTAATCTTTGGCTCACTGCAGGTGCGAGCTTCATTTCCTTGTGCGGTGGAGAAAAAGTCGGAGCTAACCTGATGATACAGCTCTCCGGTTTCACTCCAATTTCTGCAGCACCTGCTCATCACTGAAATTGCTTTCCATCCTGCAAGTTTACAACTTCAAAGCCTCGAGCAATCTTCCATAGGGGCATTGTTTGTCTATATCCAAAACACATCTGAAAAGCTTGTAATTATGCTCTCACTCTCATTATCTCTGCTTCTCCTGCTCC